AAGACGTTTATCCGACATTATCGTTGTCATAAACAGTTTGCATATTATGGCTTAGTAAAAACCTGGGGAGGTGATCTTGATAAGGTTACCCTAAGTTACCCCCAACTCCGAACTTACCCTTTACCCTAGGGGGTAGTTTGGCAGTGATAGTGGTTAATAGCGGAGATAGTGTGGTAACGCTGTGTGAGTTTACGATGCCTTGAAAGACTGGAAGCTGAAAGGAATGGAATAGAATTGGCGCTTCGATTATATCTTTGTATTTAATTGTGGGAATGTTTGCTACTGAATTTTTCGTTAAAATAGTTGTATGATCAAAATGAAAATAATCTTGAAGGGGTAGAAATAAAGTCAAATTCAAAATCATTTAATTCAGTTAGACCAGAAAGGCACATTTGAACGTCAAAACAAAATATTAAAATATTAAAAAAGAATGTCCGTCCGTTCGGTCAGTCATCTAGTGAAACTATTTGCTCGTTCTAAAGTGTAGATTCCTATGGAGAAGGACGAGCAAGAAACTCTATAGGTTACTCCTTTTCAATAAGGATCACAATACAATTCGTGGTTATATTGGTTTGTTGGTAATAAAAGAGAAAGACCAATGGAATTACTTAATTTGCTTTTTACCAATAAAATCGGTGTATGAATCTAAGATATTATTTGAAAACTGAAGTGAAAACTGATTCATCGATTCCACACGAATCCCCACTCAAGTACACAGTACCTACACACGTAGGTACCTATAGTGCCTACATCAGATGTTCACATGTAAATCACTATAAAAAATCCACTGATTGTGACTGACAGGGATTCAACGTCCCTGCTACAGTGCGTCCTCTAGCGACATTGAGACGATGACGTCATAACCCTTGTGACGGTGCGTGACGTCACTGTACACATGTCTACTTGTGTACGGAACGTCTTGGTTTGAAAAAGATTTTAGCTACGTGTAGTGTGTTTAGGGCGCTTGGGCTCCCCCAAGCGCCCGGTACCTCCGGTACCTAATGATAATATTGTGTTGTTGTGTTGATTCTAAATTTTAGAATTTCTAGTAATGGTTCATTCAATATTATGATATTATAAATATTATGATATTATTCAAATATTATGATAGGGTGATTATACGAAATAGAAGAATACCTCATTGACAAAAGAAGTCCACTGCTAAACATGGCTTCCAGATCGATGTGTTAGAAGCAAACTGCATCCAACGGCTTCCTGCGATCTTTCTAATTTGATATTCTTTTCCTGACTGTGGCCCCATTTGTTTTATATGTTATTACTGCTAAGTATTGGAGAAGAAAGCTTCCAAAACTAGAATTCCGTATTAAAGCTAGAATTCCATCTTTATACCAGTAAACGCTAAGGAAAGATGTTTCTAGTTTTGTCATGATTCCAACATTTTATTTATTTTATCAGTATATATTTCCTCGTCTTCTGTTGTCCGTGCATTATGTCTGCTGTCCGTACATTGCAAGGCGTACCTCGTAGGCGGCGCTCCGGCTAAGTACTTCCAATAAAATTATTGAAACAAGGCTGTCTTGACATACAATAGAGTTATTATAACCACCATTTAATATTAAGCCTGGGATGCCCTTCATCATCAAAATTAAATGAATATGGAAGTAGTCACTAGACGACCACTGCTAATTGTATAGTCTCCTCTAATTATTGCCACATCAGCTAATTCCCGATTACGGTATTTTTACTGAAGGGTGACTATTTACTTAACATTTGTGAGACCAGCAGAAGGTATAGGCACCGTCTCCTCCTTTTGCGAAGCAGTCATCCTAGATTAGAAGGAGGCTCCTCACAGCCCAGTCGTCGCGAAGGACACTCCGGGTGTCGGGGATCGCCAGACAATCTTCGGCCACCGTAAGCACTGGCCTGCTGACGGTGAGCATGGCTAGCTCGCCGCCCGATCAGAACCAGACGCGAGCGTGCAGTGCGTCGCGTTAATGCCATCAAATCACCACGAATGGGGCCTAATAGAGCTGATGCCGATACGGAGCTGCGGAGAACTAAACGGATTACCGGGACTCCGGCTCGAAGTTCAGGTTTAGGAACGGGGTGGTTTTTAGTCAGTCACTAAAAGTCTGACACTCCCTCCCGCTTTATCCAGGCGGGAGAAGGCATTCGATGATTTTTCCCCCTTAAAAAAGCAGAAGGTACAGCTATATGTATAGTGGCATTACATACCAAGGACGTTGAGAAAAAGTCGGACATAATGTCACTTAGTAATGATTTAAGCACCATTGTGCATGTGTAATGTGTTGCTGCGGTACCGGACTGTTTTAAGAAAATGACAGATGTCCTTCGTGTCAATGTGTGTGTATGATCTGCGTGTAAGTCTATAGTAGCCAGGTGCCACAGCCGTTGGTTTTAAGAGATTGTGTTCACCTTTTTTTTACACATCCTTGCTGCATACAGGAGCGAGGAGGACAAAATTTCAGCCCTAGAAAGTTTCGTTGCAGTGACTGGGAAGGTATGGTATATATTTTTAAAAGACATAAATGTAAGTAGGTTTGTTTGGCTTGTAGACCACCCTGTCAGCTTCAACGGTCATGATTAGATGAATATCTAATAGATTAGAATTCACATGAGCTGTACCTACTACGTAATTATCTGCTTTTTAAAGAGGAACTGTCAAACTGCTTCAAAATAGTGGTTACAGATAAGATTATGTTTGAGGCGGAAAAATGTTAGTTTATGCAAATTTTGTGGAGGGTTTATGAGATCACCAAAACCTTTTTTATTAGAGCAGGCTTGCCATATGATCGTTTTACTCAAAATATGATTGCTGATATAGGGTGCTTGAGCGTCTGCTGTCGGCTACATTACCGCTTACGGCTTACCACTAGGCGAGCTGGTGGCCAAACCTCATCTTATTATTACTTAAAGTAAATACATCAATAACACTTCTTGCCAGCCCATTCGTGCCGAAGCGCGAAGCACTCGACCGGAGTGATACCACGGCCTCACAGAAAACTAAGGCGACATCGAGAGGCGTGCCAAGAGGCTCATTAACGATGATGCGCTTATGGAGGCCCGGCTTTAAAAGCCTCGAACACAGGCGTAAGGTTACAAGCCTTTCGGTTTTGGGGTTTCGGTGAGTGTGCGGGTGAATTATACAGCTTGATTCCTCTAGTCCTTTCCATCATCGTACCATAAGACAACCGGCGAAGATCATCCATCATCGCTTACCACCAGGCGAGATAGTAGTCTAAAGTCGGCTCATCAAAAAAAAAAACTAACGTAAAGCAACATTTGCGTTGTATTTCGTCGTGTGAGTAAGGTTACCGATGGCCCAAATCTCCATGATCCCCGAATCCCCAACAATCCTCAAATTCCTAATGCCCAAAAGGCCAGTACCGCACTAGCAACGCCTCTGGTGTTTCGGGTGACCTGCGTCGACTGCGTACCATCAGGTGATGCCTCTGCTAGTTTACCGTCTTATTCCAGTAAAAAAAAATACAGTTTTCAAAACTGGAGCGGTACACTATCAATAGTAGAAATTGGCAATCAAGAAAAGTCGGTACGCTTAAGCGCTTACACGGAAAGCCAGATGACTTTTATTATCGAAACATTATCTTATTCGACTATCGATCTTACCTCTTATAATATATTCATACTTGCCATTGATAAATTATTATCGATATGAATAGTATTTTATCTCGTATATTGTTTTATGTTTACAATGGCTTATGCCTTAAGCAATATCTTTACTTCTTTGCTTTTTACATAGAAACGCCGAATGCGATTTCGTATGTCTTTTGATGTAGGTACTGTCATGTTGTATACCCGATAATGATTTTCTTTATTCTCCAATTGTTTTAGCTTTAGGCTACAAAAACGTATAATAGATTAAATTATTCTCGACTTAACTTCAATGAATTCATATGCACTATCTGAATCCATCCACTACAGAAATAAGCTCCGTTTTAGCCTTCTTATGGTACGTACGGTCTTGCCGTAATCCCCATACTTAGCAAGCGATTTACAGATCTAACTACGATTCTCAAATCACTTGGTTAGTGTGTTATCATCGAGAACTTTGAGGAAGATATCCATGTTCGAGCGTACCTATGCCTTTTCTTAAAAGTCAAAATATCGCTGATGAGGCTTCTAAAAACGTTTTCAATTATTCTCTCTGATTCCAAGGTCACAACAGATGATTGAATTATTAATAAAGTGATTACAAATGAATGACCTGAAAATAAAATTATCGTTACCTAGGTATATAATCAAAACAGTCAGACCAAGTTTAAAATGATATGAACGCTTGAATAATACTTTAAAAACTTTAAACACCTCTAAAACTTTGATTTAGTATTATAAAGACAAAAGACTAGTTATTATTTTAATAATGTTTGTTATATTTAATTTTCTTCATTGGTTAATATTGTTTATTAACAATGAAAAAACTAATTCTTTAGTTTCAAATCACTCTTCGATCTTCTGCTCTAGTTCAACTAAGCATTGAATTAGGACCCTTCCCGGTCTAAAATAGAGCAATAGGCTACTTGTACCACATGAGAAGAAATGATAATATAATATCCGCAGTCAATGAACTATGACGGGCCACGAACATTTGTCATAGACCCATTTTGACACGCGTGATTTAAAGTCCTTCTGCAAAAGGTATTTTTGTGTAAAATGGGGATGGACGAAAAGGAGTTTATTTAAGTAGATAGGTACTAGAATTTTTAAACGATTGTGGATTTTAGAGTCTCGATTTTAAAGAGTAAATTAGAATTGGCGAATAATGTATCTAAATTACACAGGGTGTTGAAATAATAAGAAAACAACAGTTTTCTTTGTTACATTTATACGTGTTCGTTTCATCCCCTCAATATAATTCTCATTGCGTCACACGTGTAGTGTCATCCGAGAAAGAGATATACAGAATCCCATATTATACACACTGGTCTTAAATTATTAAACTGAATATTTGTCGACTCAGACGTATGGGCCTCAGTCGTTCACGAATGCCGCGTGGGCACAGCTGCTCTACGATATGCTACGCACCAATCACACCATTAAAGACTAATTTTCCAATAGAAATAAATAATGCACGGCAGAGGAACGGTCAAAATAGCTACCACTTAACTATTTCCGTACGGTAGCCGCCATTTTGTTTAAGTGACGCGTGTTCAGTACTATTTTTGAATTTTACCGCGAAAATTCAATCTAATGGCTTCATCGATTCGCGCGGGTCGCATTCAGCCAGTGATTGTTTAAAGAGGTTTTAATTCAGTGATTTTTTAATTGAACATTATAAGGATTGTCACAGTGGATCCCTTTGTGAAGAGAAAAATGAAAGTATTTAAAAAGAAATTGCGTTTTTCTATAGCCTCTAGCTACGTTTAGACTTTTGAAATTTTACTGACTAAATCGAGTTAGGTGATTTCATATATCGAGAGCGACGATTGCAATTGGAGACTGCATTGAAGGTAGGAATTTTAATGTTTTTATAGAATTAAGATACAATTTGTGTTGGACGCTTAGTGATATTTTAATTTATCGATATGACACGCGAACAAGTGCAAATCGATTTACCAAATGTAACGTCTTCGGATTACCAGATGACTAATTTAAGGGTTCTTTGAAAGCTGGAAACCTATGTGAAAATTTATAGTCCTTTAACCGCAGTTTAAATCTTAACTTGATACCATTTCTAAATGTAACCCGTCAAAAATAGCTAAGGGACATTATGGACTATCTAACCCCATTAGTTTATTGGACAGAAACCGGCCTTTAAGCTACCAATAGTTAATTCACACGTTGTAAAACAGGCCCTAATGTATATTTAACGATAAGAGCCATCAGACCATGGCTGGTGCCCAATAGGGCTGATGCCGATTCGGAGCCGCGGAGAACCTAACGGGTTACCGGGACTCCGGCTCGAAGTGCAGGAGTAGGAACCGGGTGGTTTTTAGTCAATAAGAGTCTGACAGTCCCTTCCGCCGCACCCAGGCAGAAGAAGACATTCGATGATTTTCCCCTCTTAAAAAAAGTATATTTAACGAGGCCTATGGCTATAAATAAATGTGCCATCTGCTATTTTTTGCAAATTAGTAGATGTTAAATAATAACATTTTGCTTTCTTGTATTATTTGTAGAATACTGTTAGTACAGTACAACAAATACTTGAAATATTGTTATCTCTGACTCTATTGAGATAATTCTTCTAATGACGACGTTTGAGTGATCTGATAAGAAACACTTCTGTATCTATTAACATAATAGCCATATCTTTGTTATGAAGACTTTTTTGCCAACAGCTTCATCTACGTAGAAAGATAGAAAGAATATTTCTCTCGTTCAGTTCCTAATTCCAAGATTATGAAGGAATATTTGCACAAAAAATCTAGTAACGAAACGTGAATAACATTATGCTTTTTCTTTGTTCACATGTGAAGGCAAATATGCACTGGTCGCCCATAACTAAAACCCACTTGTCTTTAAACTGTATGCAGCTAAAACTGGTAGGTACCTATTTGTGGTAACATAACGTTACGCCTTTTATCCCCGAAGGGGTAGGCAGAGGTGTATATTACCTACGGCACTTAGTCCCATGTAATAGGGGGTTAGCCTATTGCCATATACCGGGCACAATTTCAGACTACTTGAATGCTACTATTGAAAGTGTTTGAAAAACCTAGTAATACTTTGCCTGACCCGGAAATCGAACCCGAGACCCCTTGCCCAGTAGTCGCATGGAGTTTCTTGCTCGTTCTTCTCCATACGGATCTACATTTTGGAATGAGCACCTAGCTTCACCTAGCTTCACTGACGGACTGACTGACAGACTATTATTTATTTTGTATTGGCTGACGTTTCAAAAATACCAAATTAAGGTTTAATTGAAATAAATGCTTTGACTTTTGAACTTACGACCATTCGGCCAACGAGGCAGCCATTTCATATCCACAGTAGCCCATGAAATCTTCTAAACATAATCATATAACCTATGACAGTCTACTATTGGACTAAAAATTTCCTCTTGAAAGGGAGAAACCCCTTTCTCTATTTAGAGCCGATTTTTCAATCATCAGTTAATTCATAACTGTAAAATAAAATTGACATTTGACAGTTTTTAGTATGGAAGAATTGTCAAATGCCTCGTTGGCCGAGTGGTCGCAAGTGCGATTGCCGGGCAAGGGGTTTCGGGTTCGATTTCCGGGTTGGGCAAAGTATTACTGGGTTTTAAAAAAAATCTCAGTAGTATCAAGGAGTCTGGAATTGTGCCCGGTATATGGCAATAGGGTCACCCTCTATTACATGGGACTCATAACATGTATAGTGAAAAGTGGGTGTTACATTGTACAGTGCCATAATGTGCACCTCTGCCTACGCCTTCGGGGATAAAAGGCGTGATGTTATGTATGTTAAGAATTGTCAAATAATCGAAGTTATTTCTCAGTTAAAATTAATTTGGCGTAGGAAAAATTGACCCTTAAAGGTGTTCTTCATACAGCAGCCTGCAGCTTAGAAATCAGTCTATACCTAAGGTTCATTATTAGCAATCCCTGGTCTTTGTCAAACTTGTAGGTACCCTTTTCGACAGCTCCTACTATACCCGTGGAAAACTCGGAAAAGTAGGGGGTGGGGACAAAATATGTCCTGCTCTATCACAGCTTTTAGGTACCCTATCTTATACTATTATATAAAGCGCAAGAGTTTGTTTTTTTGTTTGTTTGTTTAATCTCCGTAACTACAAGTCTGATTAGAATAAGTCTTTTTGTGTTCAATAGCGCATTTATCGAGGATGGCTATAGGCTATAAAACAACACGCTACGATCAATAGGAGCTGAGTAGAGCGTGTGAAACCGCGCGGAAGTGGCTAGTAGTATTATATAGCGGACGTAATATTAGCGCTGTGAACCTAACGGGTAACCGGGGCTCCGGCTCGACGTGCAGGAGAAGGAACGGGGTGGTTTTTAGTCAGTAAGAGTCTGACACTCCCTCCTGCCTCACCCAGGCGGGTGCAGTCATTCGATGATTTTCCCCACTTAAAAAAAAAAATATTAGCGCTGTACGTATATAAGTTCGTACATAAGTATAGATGAGATTAGTTCGTAACATATTCCACCCACGTGTAGTAGATAGGTACCTATCTATGTACATATGTCATGTATATAAAATGTATAGGTATCTAGCACAAATTGCAATCGTTCGATCCATTGCTCAGAAGGGACTAATAAAATTCTACTCCGTGTCGTTGTAACTGTTGTTTTGTGTATTGTTTGTTGGTACAGACATACAGACAATACTTTTACAATAATCCGTTTGTTTTTTTTTTGTTTTTAGACAGACCCATTTTTTGTGAAGATTTCGATAAAATGGGTGATATGTGTAATTTAACAGGAATATGATTGGTACAATAGGAATCTACCTAGTCGTAGTTTAAATATTTTGTATTTTATTTTTGTGGGATTACCTGATAAACGAGCAGACGGTGATCCACCTGATGGTAAGCAATCGGCGTCGCCCATGGACACCTGGAACACCAGAGGCGTTACAAGTCCATTACCGGCTTTTTGTAGATTACGAATTTGAGGATTGTTGCGAATTCAGGGATTGGGGAGATTAGAGGGAGGGGGGGGGGGGGTTAATTTGGCATCCGGTAACATCACACGACGAAATACAACGCAATTGTTGTTTCACGTCTTTCTGTGAGGCCATCGTATCACTCCGGTCGAGTCAACCGATTTGTGGCGAAGCATGGCTTTCCCACACTTATCTATTTAATTTATAGGAATTGAACGATGTTTTTAACAAAGTAAAAAAGTAAATGAAGCGCCTTTTATTATTTTAATATACAATATCAGATTTACAATATTGCTCGGTAAAAGATTGCAGGAGTAATTGAAAATATTTTTCTTCTTATGTGGCAGTTACGACTATATTCTATATAGTTCATTTACGTTAGTATTTGTTAAATAGTTATAACATACATGTTATATACTATATCATATATATATAATTGGAAACTATAGTCTTTATTATCTCATACTGCATACTAAATACTAAACTTGGCAAACTTTGCTCATAATTGGGTACTTTCCTTAGTCAAAAATAAAATATTTCGACTGTTGAATCCAATAGAATATTAAAAAATAATCACACTTTCATTAATTGATTTACTGACCAACTAAATTTAGTAGATTTCCAGCAATTTTTTAAGAAATAAATATGCTGTTCGACGCTAATAAACGTGACGTCACAATATTATACACCCGTACAAAATTCATAAAAAATTGTTATTTTTGACAATTCGAAAAAAGTATTGAATTTGACTAGTTGGCAAGTACCTACCCAATTACAACCAATATGAACAACTGCGTAATGCAACATATAAATAGGTATACCAATAATTCATTATTTAGTAGGTACTTAACTTTAAATCAACAAGGGAATAATTTAACATGTAATTGACCCGTATAATTAGCTTGTAATATCGGATTATGCTAATAACATAAGATTTGATCTGATATTATCTACGTGTAATTACAATTGTCGGCCATTTAACTGGTAGGTAGCTAATTGCTTAATACATGAATGTGTGTAAGTCGTTAGTTTTTATTAGGTGACCACTAGTTGGAAAATAATTGGAGAAGCAGATTATCTCTATTACGGTTTTCGGTTTCCTCACGTAATTATTTGACAAGGAACTCGACTAGTTTCAAGCCATGCTAGAGGCTGTCGCGCTGCTACTTTTTTACTACAGTAGTAGTGCACAGTCGCCGTGTCGCGAGTCGTAGAATGCTCATGAATATGAGCCTCGGAGTCTGGAATTGTGCCTGGTATATGGCAATAGACTCATCTCTTATTACATACGGCTGATCATCAATACATAGTATAAAACAAAGTCGCTTTCGCTGTATGTCCGTATGTATGCTTAGATCTTTAAAACTACGCAACGGATTTTGATGCGGTTTTTTTTAATAGATAGAGTGATTCTTAAGGAAGGTTTGTATGTATATACATATTGCACAAGTGCGAAGCCGGGGCGGGTCGCTAGTATAACATAAATAGAGAAAAGTGGGTGTTACATTGTACAGTGGCATTAAGTGTCGTAATGTGCACCTCTTCGGGGATAAAAGGCGTGCTGTTATAAGGTACCAAATACAATTCATCATTTCTTGAATTTACTTTATGGCAAGATACTATCAAAAATATATGTGTATGTGGTGTACGTCATAAAGATATTACTAATGAACAAAAAATCAGTCAAGGTGAAGATGCACATACTTGTGAAGCCGGAACTAGGGATTTACCATCGAAACTCACTTAGAGTCGACTTGGCAATGATGACGTCATTAAACATGACCGTATAAAAACGATTAACCATCATCATGAACAGTACCTATACTAGCCACTACCGAACTATGAATGTGCTATACCTACATTAACTAGCTAGCCAAGAATATCCTATGTTTTATTCTAG